ACAGCTTCCAGAATACTAGCAGCGAAATATTTTGTTATTTTCTTAGACTGATATTTGGCCTCATTAGTGATAATCTAAATAGATTCCTGTATCTTTTCTTATATACATAACTTAATTTATAATATAAACTAGAGTCGATAAGTGTTTTTTTTCCACCATGCTTTTATTTTGTTTAACTTTAGTTGAAAAATTTGTAATTTAATTTTAGGTACCATATTTGACCATATTAAAAAAGTTGGCTGTTTGAAGTGTAAAGGTCCTTTAATAAAATTAAATTAAAATTTGCAGTAATCAGGTTCTTTTGAGAAAAAGTTACAATTTAAACTAAATACGACTGAGTTTTACTGTTTCTGTTTTAATTTGAAAATCTGGTTTTAATTAATAACATTAATCAATCACACATCGTAACAGGATCAGATATAAAATTAATAACTTTAATTTGACATTTTCGTATCTTTAAATCATTATTTTATTAATAATCAGCACATTAAATCACACGTAACCATCGCAACAGTCTGTTTTTTTTTTTTTTACTAATTTGATTTTTAGTAGTTGTAGGGCTGTGGATTGTCCACTAGAGGGTGCTGTTTATCATTCAGTCGAAGGACTGTTGTAAACAGCTGTCAGATTTAGCTGGATTTTCTCCACTTATAGATCACATACAGACCTAAACCCTGACCACAAAGTTAAGGGGCCGTTTTTATGTTTGTGTTTAGCATTTATTTAAATAAATAATTTTATTAGTTAAAATTGGAATGTAAAATATCTCTTTTTATTTAAACCAAACATTTATCATCCAGGACCTCTGCAACCCTTATAAAGCCTTTAGAGCTGCTTTAAGTTTGGAGCTGCTTAATTTGTGTTTTACCTTCTGTGAAGGTTTAGTTTGAATGTTTTACCTGCAGGTTTGGAGCTCAGCATCAGTCTATAAATACTAAAGGATGATTAATCTGTGTTTTTCTCCACAGAAGAATGTCTAAAATGTGTCTGATGAGTGAACATCTCTGAGTTTTTATGCTCTTAACATTTGCATAGAGATTAATGTGAGAAATGATGCAACCAGGTCACTTCTTTAAAACGGAGCATCAGTTTCTGTCTGAAAACAATGTCTGCAGCAGAATGAGAGTTAAAATGTTATTTCCTAATCCCCCCGAAAGGGAAAACATATCTTTGGAACACATGGAGGGTTTTAAATAAACAAAAAAGGAAATTGTAGGGAAATGAATCCTAAACCAAAGATGGATCCTAAGTTAATTAGTTTAAGGTTGCTGCAGTCCTGGTCCCCCTGTTAAAAGAACTGTGTGAGAATAAATGTGTAGATTATTGTTTCTGCAGCTAAAATCTGCCTCTAAAAATCATAAAACATTTGTTTGTAAATGAAACAGCTCCATCTCTGACATCCTCTGTTTGACCAGATGATTGTTGTACAGAAAACAGGCGTGGAACTAATCATGTAAAAAAAAAAAAAAAAAGGTTCAGTGCATCAATATTAATCTCTTTACTGAAATAATGGACTAATAAATTATTTTAAAAATCACCAGGCTGGTTTGCATTCATTTAATTCAGTTCTCCTCCTTGAACCGTTCATCAGCTATATGAGTCGGGGCAGCGGCTGTTCATTTCATTTATATACATGCTAAAAAAGTTGTATTTAAATCATTATTCTTAAAATAAGAAGGAATCTGTTCATAAACAGTTCTTTCCCTTATTTTACCATGAATTAGTAATAAACTTACTGGTTTACTGTTTGATCCAGAAGAGGGCATTTTCTTATCCCTTTAAAGCCCGATCCAATAATAAAACAAAACAGAAAATTACTTTTTTTTTTAACAAAATATGTAAAAAGAAAAAACAGAAATACATTTTTAATATTAATAATTTATTACTATGCGATAAGTCAAGATTATTTTTTGTGTAGTCTTCTGCC